GGGACAGAAATGTATGTTGTATAGGTGTAAAAAAAATCGTGTTATAAAACTATTGAAATGTGATTTTCAAAAAAAAAGAGAACTTGCCTTTATGTTGCAGGGAGGCACCGAGCTAATCATTAATATTTTTAATTTTAAAACATTAACATCTTAATTTATTGCGTTTACATAGTACGGTAATATATATGTATTAATATATTAGGGTTCGTTATGTGTAATAATTTGTACACTAAAATACACTTAATAATATAATACGATTTGGCAGACGTTGTTTTTCTAAAAACTTTAGGCGCAAATCCTTATAAAACATACATAGTTATGAAAAATGTAAAGAATGATTTAAAATCAGAAATGGACTGGGAATAAAAATCGGGCCCGGAGAAACAGAAAATTTAAACGAATTTAGATGGTAAAATTCCATTTTATTTTAGGCCCAAATTTTCACATTCGCCACCCTATAGCCAGTCCACACATGCGTATAATATAGGTGGGTGTACTACAAACTGCCTATAATGTCACTGATTAAGTATACTTAATTAATGTTAATATTAAACATTTATATATACACTGAGAGAGTGTTAGAATTTATGAATTTAAATATATTATATAAAATCTAAAAGTTTTATAATATTTAACAAAGAAATTATTTCTATTTACGCTTGTTTTAATTTGGAGCGCCTATATCAGTTTCTAATATTTTTTTCAGTACTACAACTATTACGTTAAACTATCTAATTAATCATCATATAATCGATCATTGAACACTGAACCACTACAATTTGTTATTCATTAACTGTATACAAAATCTATATAGGTATAATATAGTATATATATAATTTACAGCAATAAACGCTAATTATTGTGTTATATAATTGTCTTTCCGTAGTCTGAGATACTAATGATACCATACCGATCAAGTCCTGACGAAAAGGTCAAAAGGGAGTCATAGCGTAAATTTTGTTCCAGTTTAAATCCATCGATTCACATCATAGAATTCTGGGACGTCGATATATTACTATGTGTTTACAGTTTTATACGCAACGCGTATCACTCACGTCGCATTGTATGTAATGAAAATATCAGGCTGCAGTCGGATACTTGCAGTTAGGTTTCTCAATTTTTTTTTTTGATTAACTATATGACTATACTCTTCGTATATATTTGGGGAGGGGGGTGGTCTTGTAATTTAGAGGTATCTATCTTATAATCTTTGATGAATTTCAATGCAACTATCATTTACAAACAATGCTTTTTTTTAACGACGACTATTTACACGGAGTTCATACAAAGGAACTTAAACGTCACGTCCCTCTCCTCGGCTTCCGGTTTGGACAGGACTTTATCTAGTTCTATTATATTTCATATTTTATCAGAATATCTCAAGATTACGTATGCACTGAAGACAAAACATAACGACGCGCTCCGTCACTTATAATAATCCACCTATTCCACATTTCCAGCCCACTCGTATTTAAGTAAACAAGTAAACAAAATACAAGGTGAATGTATTGTATTTATTTATAACGTCACAATGATAGTATAAAGGACAAAGGTATATATTTGAATACAATATCATATATTTATTATATTTTATACTTTATGGCTTCATGTTTGATCGTAATCGATACTGATACTGCCAGACAGTTGCGAACGCAGGAAAAAATGTCGGGGGGGTTGTACATTTTTCAAATATTCATAAATGCCATACTGTTCACACTGTGTTACCTACATTAATTTCGGAATCATTGCTAAACCCCCCAAACCTCCCCCCTGCTTTCGCCCCTGTTGCAAGATTTTCTATCCCCTGTCGGTACTATTTGTTCCACTGTGATAATGCAGGTTTCTAGGTTCTACACATTTTCTTCATTCTTCTTTATTTTCTATAGAAATTCCTGAATTTATTTAATGTATTTTACTATTATAGAAATATAGAGAAGGTTGAAGTACATTTTACCGAAAACACTGCATTTTAAAATGGCATTGTGTGTATAAAATGTTAGTAAACTTTAAAATTTAGTGTGATAACAAAAAAAGTTGTTTGTTGAAAGTATCTATTTTTGGGGGGGGGGGGGCAATTTCGTATTTCCCACACCAAATAAAGCAAGTACCGTTATTAATCTTATGAGTTATTAAAATGTTAAATACTAACTATTATAATATAATGTATATAATATTATATACATACAACAAGCCCATTGCCGATACCTATGTGGGAAATGGCTATATAATATTTAATGTGCACAGTATAAAAACCATCGACCTTATTCGTATTCCATAAGATTTTTTGTATTATATTCACGATGTTCATTAATGCAAACGCAAATCCTAAAATTAGTTCTTAATGATCACTGCAATCTAGCAAATGAAATTCAATACTTGGTAGTCGGTAGGTAACCGTAAATTGTAAGTCCGGTATTTTTTACAGTCCGTATTAAGGTTTCTTATTGCTTTGATGACAGTCAAACTTATCAGCGAAACATCCCATACGTGAATTGACTATACCTATCTGTTTATTGTTTTCATACATATTAGCTTATTCATTTTAGATAAGTACCAACAATACGACATTAATTTAATTTAAATTAATAACAACAATCTTTGAATAAACAAAATATAAAACTAAAAGATATGATAAGCCCTATATGAATTTTAATTTTAAGGTAAACGTGCCTTACTAGGTATTAGTTTTTTTTAATTTTTAATTTATTTATAGACAGGTAACAATTTAGTAACAATACGTGATTGGTTAAAATATTTATATAAGTAGTTATAAATGCATATAGGTATACCAATCTAACATTTCAGTAGATTTTATGGATACTAAATAGTAATACTTCTAAAACTTACCTGCAAAATAATAACATATCCATTAATATAGTTATAATTATATCACGTTCCATTCTGTGTACCTTCCACAATTCCACATTGAATACTAACGATAAAGAAATCATGGACACCCGTCGAAATCGAATAGATAAATTCATCGCCCATATTTATTCTATACATGATTATTAACTTTTCAACGATTATAGATACATTTATACTCCATTCACGAGGATGGAAAACAAACATTCGTTTTTAAAATCATTTAGGAGAAAGTAAACAAGTGTATCTATCATGATTCACGACCACAATATTTATTATAGTGTGTTGTACATAATAATATTATAAATTAAAGTAATCCACACGACTTAAAATGTCATTTTGGAAAATGAAAATCTTTAACTTCATATAGTAAGAATTTACTATAGAGCAGCGAGTAACGGATTCGGAGGGCCGTCCCCAAAGCTCGAAACGTACACAAATAAATTATAGATGATGATAATTGTTTTTAAAGAAATATTAATCAAATAATTTTAATAAAACTTATGGATAATTATTTAAAAAATAAAGATATAATAACGAAATCTATATTTATTACATTTTATGTAATTTGTAGTTGACTGTATTTATACAAAGAAAAATTTAAGAGTTGTACCTACCTATATACTACTAAGTATAATATATTAATTTAGTTTATACTTAACTGCCAAGTGTGCGCACAATATGACCATAGCGTCAATAGGTAATGTGACAATAATACTGAAAAAACATTTTATTTCTCGTGTTAAGTGTTTATAAATAGCTCAAAAAGATCATATTTTGAAAATGTTATCTCTTATGAAATATAGTCATATAAATGTTAAAATTTAAATGTTTCAAAGTATTTTTGGTTATTTGTTTTTGATTACGAGAAAAAACGAAATTGATTTTGTTAAAAATTGGTGAAAAGATACTTACTTATCTTAAAAAGTAAGTATAGAATATTGAAGCATTTTTAATGCCCTTAAATGAATTTGAAAAATATACAAAATAAATGTGGTGGCTAATCCTTCCCCTCCCCCCCCCCAGATCATCACTCTGCATTGGCCCCTGACAATAATAGCAATTTTGTTGTTCAAAATGTAAACTTTCGAAGTTTGAACTATTGTCTAGGCATATTTGTATTAAATTTCTGGTTTTTTTTTCCGAATTCGTTGTTGGTAACTATAGTAGGTATAACTGTATAAGCGTTAAAGCTGACGTGGCGATGATTAAATATTAAATAATGAACCATTATAGGACGATTAGTAATGGACCGGATCTTAGTGGTTCGAAGAAGTAGTGTACAAATTTAATACACAAACACTGTACAAATGTAAAATACCAAATATAAATCGTGGAAAAGTCTAGACATGTAGTGTGCATGTCACGTGTGTGTGTGTGTGTGTTGGGTTAGATCTAAACGAATTCGTATGGTGCACGTATTGTTACCCGATCTTTTTTCTTTTGTTATTTTTTCAACGTTTTTCAAACTCGTGAACTCGAGAAATGTACACGCACAACAATACGAATAAAACCTAAATTATTGAATGAAAAACAATTGTTTTTCGTGAATACAAATATAGGTTAATAACTATATTAAGTAATATACCTTGTATATGAATCAATAAGACATAATTTCGTCATCAGAAATTAATAAAAAAAATAAAAAGTGAGCCGTCGCGGAACGCCTGCAGGCAGATGTGAATGTGAAACATCGAAATTATTGTGTACAGAAAATATTCATGAAAATTATCACCCAGAGCACCTCCCCCCTCCCTTAAATACGCTACCGGTTCCCTTGGCCGGTGGACGTGAATATTATCGGCACAAGACGACCGTGACGGCGAGTGCGATGGTGAACGTTGGATAATGCATGGTGATAGCGACGACGACTCGTGAATATGTGCATGGCGACAGGAACAGCGGCGACTGGTGACCATGCTCGGTCGGCGGATCTCCGGGGAGGAAATATTCTATGAACCATCGCACAGGCATATCCGGTTTGTCCGATATAGGTACGTTATTTTCGCCTACCCGAACCGATGGCGGAGCGACGCCCCGTCATCGAGAGCAGCCGGCAGCCGATACCACACCCTCCCAAGTCACCACACCAACCATTAGTTATTAGTATATTATATATTTTTATATTTTTATATTTATGATTTTTTTTTAGACAATTCGTCCACAACTTCTTCCACGGATAGATCAATATCGACAATATCCCTATGTATTGACAGTAACGATAATCCATTCAGTCGTGTCTGAAAATTTTTAATTAATTATAAGTCCAAGCAAAATTTTTCTAAAAACTAAACGTCTAACGTTCTTACCTCATTCATTGTATTTCGTAGATGAGTTTTAAGTCTCTTTAAACTAGAAAACCTCCTTTCGGGAGTTGCAGTCGATACAGGCAGTGTAACAAATATTTTTAAAAGAAGTTTAATATTTGGATAAATTTCTTTATCACAGTTAAGAAACGCTTCTATCCTAGTTTTAGTTATTTCATTATTACTGGAGGCTAGTTTTAATTTCCACATCTTCAATTCTGAAAGAACATTGTGCCTATCAATTGCAGGAGAATATAATTCAATTAGGTTGAATTTTCTGTCTTCATCAGAAAATTCTGAATGAAATAGCTAGGCACTCAAATCCTAAAACAATTAAATAGTAAATTTATCACATACATTTAACTACTTAAATATAGGTATAAAAGATTTATTAATTAAAATAAAGTATATAAAATAATAGAATTGAAAAATATTCATTAGCTACCCGCAGCTCGAGTGCTCGACTGCCTTTTTCGAGCTCTCCTCAGTCCTCACTGTTTCGACGGCGGCCGGGTTATCGTCTAATTTAAATTGAAATAAAAAAAAAATACTCAACTTAAGTCTTGACTCTTGGGGGGGGGGGGATCAAACCCAATGACCCCCCCCCCCCATAAATACGCCACTGCTGCCACAGAGAGAGGTTCCTTCAGTTCAGTTTTCGAGTTACATTCGCTTATAACTTAAAATTATAGATAAATAGCGTGAATTGAATACAATTTTCCCGCGGTGGTCACGACAATGTCATTCATCATCATTTATCGGGTATAATGTCAAGGACTCGTGGATTGGAATTTGGAGCATGAGAAGAAACATCATCGATTATCAGTTCATGTGCCTATGTAATACGTATAATACACACAAATCATATAATATAGTTGATGTAACCATAGATTATGTGTTGAACTATTTATAGGCATATGAAATTTTCGATTATTATTTGTTTTTTTTAAACCCAAATCGATAAAAAAATGTTCGCTCTGTCAAAATACTTGAAAATATAATAAAAGGTTCCTTGTAAGCTGCTGTTAGTGGAAATTTAAAAAAAAGTTGAGCGTAAATCCACAACAATTTTTTAAGTTTAAACTTAGAACTTTGACAAAATTCGTGAAAATCACGAAAGTTAGCAATTTATATTTAGTTAGAACTTCATAAAAATTGTTCTATTAAAATCTAAGATTTAAAAATGTAATACAAAATTCCTTACAAGTTTGTCTACCTTTATCAAAAAAGATGTCTACCGGAAAGTCAAATTTAATTTTTATGAGCGTTTGAAGTTGAAATTTTTACAGCATTGATATTCACTCGATTTCTCTTGTTACGATTTTCTTATTTTGTTGTAATTCAAAAACGAATTACTGTATAGACACTTGAAATTAACACCAAATGTTTATTTCATCAAATCATATATTTGATAAAATTTCAAAAATATTTTGATTGGTTTGAAGCTGTTGACGGACATTTTCAATTTTCATTTTTTTTTTCTATAAATGTCAATACAATTTTATTGGTCGAGTCAAAAACATGAAAATTTGATTCAAGACTCTTGTTACAATAGCAGTTGAAAAATTTTATAAATACATAGTCACGATTTTTTTTTATAAGCATTAAAGTTCAAATGCTTACAATATTAATCAAATTTCAAATTGAAAATGATTTTGTAGTTAAAAATGTATAAAATTATCAATTTGTATAGCTAAAGATTGAAAAGTTAAAACAAGGTTCGACTAAGCTGTTTTTTTCCGTAAATAAAAAAAAAATCTAAAAAATATATGAATATGGTTATTTTTTAGACATTTTAAGTTCAAATTTGGATAAGATTGCAAATTAACACAAAGAATAGAATAATGTTTATCATTTTGTTGTAATTCGGTTTCAAAACAGCCCAATTTTACATAGGTATATTTAATATTTTTCCAGGATCACTGATAATTTAAGAATAATATTTATTCAACTCACCGTCTACCATATTAATAATAAGTAATAAGTAATGACAATATAAAATATCCTAGACTGACATACCGTCTCCGCTCAAAATTATTTTTTGTATACAATGATATTATATCATTGAATTCAAATTTAATTCCATCCATTACAACGACCTCCTAGACACCTAATGTACTGCAGCAGAGCGACATCTAGTTACCCGCTTTTTTTGTTTTTATTTTGTCGTAATTAAAAATAAATAATAGTTAGAGACTTACATTTATCACCATTTATTTATATTAACATTTTCTTTACTTAATATAATTTTAAAAATATATTGAATCTTTTTGTGTTATTAAGATATTTTTTCGATACATGTATGATACAAAAATGTTTTTCTGTATGTTTAAAAGCTTGAAAGTGTATTACAAGGTTTCTTATACTTAAATAGTTGATACCTCATCTAAAAAACATAGAAAGTATATAATCACATTTTTTTTAAACACAGGATACACAGTCATAAGTCATTTTTAATACATTTTAGAATTTTACAGAGAAAACATAAACCTATAATATACTTCTATAAGAGAAATTGTAATATCAATATATCAGAATTTATTTATGAACATTGAACAATTATATAAAATAAGATATCATAAACTCAGTACATGTATGTAAAAAAAAATTTTAAACAAAATGTTGACTAATGTAGTTTGGCACAAGCTGACAATATTTTGTTAAAATGAAGCACGATATATTTTAAGCTACAAAAATGTATATATAATTTTGTTTCAATTGTATTAATGGTGAACATAATAATTTTATATAAATGTATAATAAATAACAATTAATTAATAAATAATATTTTTGGTAATTAAGGAGTGAAGAAGTAGAGGACCATATTATAAATTCCTTTAAAATTTTGTTATGTCCAAAAGAATTAACAATATAATAGAAACAGGGGCTAGAATCAAAATACATTTCATTTTTCGATTGCTTCGATGATATTTTTCTGCTTTAATTAATTCAGCTGCGCCTTTTTTTACTCTAATTTCAGTCTGTTCAATATTGTAGTCTATCCGATCCAAAACACTACCCTACAGAAACCAAATATGCAATTAGAATGGTATACTATTAAATATTAATAGAAACTAGATAAATAAGAGTTATGAAGTTTGAACTTACTTGTTGAACAACCATGTGTGCAAGGTCTTTAAATATATTATTTAGTTCAAGAACAGAACTGGATATCTGATTTGCTTCACGTTCCCATTGGACAGCCATTTTAGCATTTTCTTCTTCAATAAGTATAGCAGCAAATGTTTGTGTTTGATTTGACTGTTGCATCTGTGATTGTTGTCCAAAAGAATTAGATGAACCATTACCAAACATATCTAGTAAATCAGAATTTGAAGTGTTTTCTTCGGTTTCAAAACACATTTGAGATGACATAGCCTCTCTGTGTTTGATTTCTAAAAACATAAGTATACTTAATAATTACACATAAATTGTATAACTCATTTAAAATTACTGTTGAGATAAATTTGCTGTGAATTTCGAAATTCGTTGAACAAATTTTGTAACGATGACACTAGAGCAGATGACACATTATATGAGAGTTGGGATTCTTTGTTGCCAGATAATCCACTTGAATGTAATCTGATTTGTTGAATTATTTTTTTTGTTGAACCAAATATCTGTAGCATAATACATTTTAAATAGTATTAATAATTAATAAATGTATTTTAAGTATAAAAATAATATATAAATAATGTATATACTCTTGTAATATCTAATGTGAGATCCTGGATGTGTTTCTCTTGTAAGCTAGAATCATTTAGGGTAGGTCTCAATACTTGTGCATCTTGTAATGATTGTAATTCTTTTAATTTGTTCTGTAACCTAAAATTATAAAATTTTCTATAATATTATGCTATTTAAATAATTTAGTTATTAAATTAAAACCTGGTAATGGAATATTGAGCATCTTCAAGTAATCCAGTCCAAGTAGGTGGAGATTTTTCTTGAGAACGCATTTCAATAGAATTTGTTTTAACCATAGAACGACCAGCTTCCATCAATGCTGCTTTGTCATTAATACCTTCATCACTGTCTGATTCATAATCATTATGTTTAGATCCTTGAAATGAATAAATTCCTCTGCTCTGGATGGAATTTGTCCGCATTAACAAAAATATGTCGGTGAGGCTTCTAGTGGCCATTTTATTTTCAAATTGATTTCTCTTTAACATAACCAAAATAATTAAATTATGTTTGTACATTAAGTAATCAAGTATAGATAAGTATAGATCAAGTATAGTAAAACTATTTATTGTTAACAATATGAGTTTTGTACTTATATAGTACAGAACTAAAATAGCATACAACTATAATTATGGAACTGTATAGTTCCAGTACTGGAGACACTTTACAAAATTATAAATACTGGTGAGATCTTATTTTATACAATGTGTTTAAAATTAAAATCATTAACTAATAAAATTAAAATTAAATTAGAACTCTTACATAAAAAAAATACTAGAAAATGATGAAGTAAAAAGTAAGTACACATAGACAAACATACATTTTGTAGTCATGATATATGTACATTGTACATACATACTTGTCTATGCTTACATTTTTATTTTAAATATTTTGTACCTACTGGCCTATTTAATTGCAACTAATTATGTTTATACCAGCTATGAGTTCTTGATAATTTTTCAAGTGGAAAAAAGAATGGCAAGTAGTACATTAAGTATTAACATATTGCTGTCTAAATAAGTATTGATTTTAAAAGCTCATATTATAATATATATAAAATTCTTACTTTAATATAATAAAATATATCTTCTGAACACTCTAATTTGTAATTTATTTTAAAACAGTATTAAAATTAGAAAAGGACATAATACGGAAAAACCAAAAAGTCATAAGCGTATAATAATTAATAATATTTTTTTGACTATCGAGTATCGACATTCGAGTATTCCACACCTGTTATCACTCCCTTTTATTTTTACTTTTTGTTATCACCTCTTTTTAAAACGTGGCGTTATCATCCTAACCGTATCAAACAACATCAGTGTAAAAAAAATTGAAAATACTAGTATAATATTATGTATGACAACCTCTCATAAATTGTTTTTTTTATAAATTTAGAAGTATCGAAAAACAATTGCACAGATTGATTCTGTTCACATTTTAGGTTCTGAGCGGAGTAATGAATGTATTGATTTAATACAATGATGTGTGTTTTTTTATTTTTTGTGTCTGTTTACTGTATAGGTACACGATATGTAGTCAAAATAATTGTTCGATTGTAAACTTCAGTATCTTTTCTGGTGTGAATATGAATCTAATTGGTGCATTCAAGAGTTCAAGCTCCCAGTAAGTTTCATAAGCTTAGAGGAAAACAAACAAATAAGGAAATCTAAGAATTTTACTCAATATTAGTTTTTGACAAAATCGATTTTGTTTTTAGATTTAACTCAAAAACGAATAACTGTAGATACTTGAATCTTTCACTTAATGTTTAATTTAGAGTTTTCTATAAGTGATCGTTTTTTTTTAAATATTAGATTCTTTTTGAGCTCAAACAGAAACAAGGTTTCTCATAAGTTGATGTAATAGCAGTTAAAAATGATTTAAGTTACATGATCACATTTTTTTTATAAGCATTTCCAGTTTAAATGTTGACAAAATTCATCAAAATCTTGAAAATTTTGTAAATTATTTTGTAGTTAAAAATGTATACAATTTATGAAGATAAGGATTTTAAATCTAAACAAAATATATAAACAGTGTTTTTTTATGGATATTTTAAGTTAAAATTTGGACTAAATTAAATACTTTAAATTTTAAACAAATAATAATGATTTTTGGTTATTTTGTTGTAATTTGAAAAATACTGTGTATGGCCGTGTGGGTACTTGAAACTTTTATAGTATGCAATATACTATTTTATTTTATTTTATTCATCAAACAATGTAATTATCAATGCAATGTATTCAGTCAAAATTAAATCAATCCCGTATATGTTAAGGAAAAATGTTTTTAAAAAAACCTTTACTATTACTAAATAATATAAAAATTAATTACTTCAATAGCCAAAATATCATAAAATTACAAATGTAATTATAGACGTAGGTGTTTAAAATGGGCTGGTTGCATACATTGCTTACATTGCATATATTTAGTTGCCTATCTAAAACGCCTTGTGATCATGATCTTAAACTGAATGTTGAAATTCATAAAAACAAACAGCTATCATATTAATATATTACAAGTATGTCAGTATGTGTCACTGTTTTAAAAAATAATGGACCCACTTCGTTGTTGTGCATTACTAAAAACGTATCAGATCCCTTGTTAATTATTGTTATCTTTATAAAATATAAATTTACCACCGTCCACCTGGTTATTATTTTAATAATCTCAAGTCGGGTTCGTATAATAAATTGTGCACTTTCCGGCAAAACGTATTCATAAAATGTATGCAATTTTTTATTTTAAAAATAACAATTTAATAGGTACAAAATATAATTATTCACTTTGTGTCTTAGATTAATATATGTAATATGATAATTGAATATGAATTCGAAATGGGGTTTTTTCTTTTCAAAAAAATGATACAATATTATATTTTTTAAATTTAAACAGTTTTTAAAAAAATGTAAAACGCATACATTGGTTTTTGAAGTGCTGGTTAAACTATATTTTTATATTTAATATCCATGCTTGTAATAGGTTTATAGTCTGCAGTAGTTTTCAAATCTTCTATACTGTATCATGAGTGGAAAAACACGAGTTCTCAGTCCAAACTCCTAATCTGGGTAGACCATGCGTCAAAAATTCAAACTAAATAAAAGCGGGAACCATATTATGTGGATAAAGGTGGATCCACACCTCGTCGTGTTGTGTCGTGTTCCGTACATTTAATACATAGGTAACAAAATGCTGGTCACACATTCCATATAAGCTGAATTTATTCAACTCTACAAGACACGGTGAGCTATGAATCTCTCTAAAACGAGTGATGACTGATTCTAGTCACAGAAGTTGGTATATAAATTTAATGGATATCTATTTTTTGAACCACCGTCTATGAGGCACGAACCAAGGCGTTAAGAAGATTCTTCTCAAAACCTTTGGCTACGAACTAAAATATATTATCTTAGCCTTAAAATAACTATAATAATATTATACTATATTATACTATATGATCTTAGCCCATGATTTATACTTATTCTGGTTGCTTGTGAAGCTAGATGGCGCTGTTAAATACGATTTTTTATATTTGCAGATTTTTTTCCGTTTTTCATTTTCCATTTTTCTGTGATCATTGATCACAACTGACATAAATATTTGGTTCAGTGTGACATTGTCTATCGTATTTTATTTAGTTTGGGTGGCCTGAAAATAAAATCTTATAATTCATAATTAATATTAAATTTATTTAATTATTTAAATGTATTATGTAATTAACTAATATATCACGTACCTATTGATGTATAAGTATTACAAGGACTTCTAAAACAATGTTCTCGCTCGGTTTGTATTTAACATCACTTTATTTTTTAAAAACATTTTTTTCGCAATGATTGTAATAGTATACATAGTTTATGCCATAGTATTTATAACAAATAATGTAGCATACTACAAACTACAACAATAAGACCAACGGGCAACGGGTTTTATACAATTATTTATATTATATAGTATACACGTGTTAATATTTAATCTTACAACAATACGACGTACATATTTAACGTAAGAGACAGGCATCAACTTTCAATTTTTAAATAACAATGACAGTTGTTTTTATATATTATAATAAAAATGGTACTTAAAAGTTAAAACTTTAATTACCTACTTATCTTCAAAAAATTTAAAAAATATGCCAATTTTAAGTATAAATAATAGTTAAATAAAAATAAGAAATTTGAGATGTATAGGTATTCAAACCTTTTAATTGTGTCCAAAATAATCATCATTCGTGATTTTTTTTAAACAAAAATATTACTTAGTTAATTATATTATGTTATTACAGTATTCATTTATTAATGTATTTACAAAGACGTAAATTAGGTGTAAAGTTAGGGAGTGCTAACAAAATTTAAAATTATTAATTTTTGACACACAGACCCGAGCGGACTTTGCACCTCATACTTCTATGACTTCTTCAAATTACCAACTAAATATTAATTTCGTTTGAAATATTGAAATAAAATATTGAATTAAATAATACTGAACATAAATTTCTGGTATACTATATATATTTTTTAAATTTTGTATGCATTCATACATTTTTATACTTCATCAATAGTTTTTCATTTTATAAATTCTGAGTAGAGCGTTGAATGTATTGATTTTACAGTGATGTTTGTTTTTATTTATTTCTGAAGACACTTTTTATAGTAGTAAAAATGATTTGATTTTCAACTTCAATATCTTTTCTGGTAAAAAAGTTTATCTTGTTGATTCATCGGGAGGTCAAACGTACAAAATTCCCAGCAATTGCCTTTTAATTTATTGGAAAAAACATTAATTTTAAGCTAAACGATTGTTTTGAGAATATTGATTTTATAATATTATTATAATTCAAAAAAGAATGACCTTAGGTACTTGACATTTTTCCAATGTTTAAATTAACATTTTTGTATGTGATATAAGTTTCAAAATATTTTGACCCTTTGTTTTAGCCATTTATAATATAAGTATGCATAATTTTTCAATAATTGTCGTAAAAATGTTTTCGCTCTGTCAAAAAACATGGAAATTTAATACAAGCCTATTCGCTTAATTTGTTATCAGTGAGGAATTAAAAAAAAGTTGATGGTGTGTAAATTCACATTCATTTTTTATGAACGTTATATGGTATGTACATTATATATTACGTTTTATGGCTATTGAATAACGAGACTATTTTTGTAAAAATTTTTTATTTACAATTTTTAATAATTTAATATTTTCCCCCTTCTACATACTCTCCTCCGAGTTCGACACATCGTATTCGTATTTTACATCGGTTGAAACAGTGTTGGAAATCCTTTTTTCGTAATACCTTTATTACCTCTGACGATTTTGTTTTGACAACTTCAACTGACTCAAAATGTGTCCCTTTTAATGCAGATTTTAATTTTGGAAAGAGCCAAAAGTCACACGTAGCTAGATCTGGCGAATATTGGGGGTTTTGAAGCACTGGAGTTCGATTTTTAGCCAGAAACTGGTTCGCAGATAAAACATTATGAGCCGACGCATTGTCTTGATGCAAGATCAATGTATCGTTCTCCCATAACTCGGACCGTTTTTCTTACTCGTTCTCTGAGAGTAGTCAATACTTGTAATTGTAAATAATAATGTTGATGTACTGTTCGTCCCCGAGGTACCTATTCAGTCATTATAACACCATTAATATCTAAGAATACGATCAACATTGCCTTTACACATGTTATTCGTCTCCAACTTCAATACGACACTCAAGACATCGTTATTGCCACTCAAAAACACGCGCTCGTGACATAACAGCACCTGCATCTATCAACAAGCGTAAACTTTCCGTTGCAGATTTCCCAAGTTTCACAAGAAATTTTAAATTAATACACTGCTCAATTTTTTCTTCCGGCATAATATCGATGAACAGCACGTAAGAAGTCACTTTGAACAATGTTCACACGTTAAAATATATAGAACGCACACTGACAAAACTTGTATTGTTCGATCCAGTGACATTCGTAGATTAGAATTACATCAATATTATTTCCTTATTGGCAACTGTTTTATCACTTGTTTGACAGTCCCGTTTTAGTCACACCCACGATTAAAGATATACTTAGGTATATATACTTAGGTATATCTTTAATCGTGGTCACACCTCGTATATTGCTTATTATTGTATAAATTAACTTAGGTGAGTATTCACTCAATATTTTCTCAGTACCCACTACCGAACCACCATCTCCCTCATTTTAGCTGTGAAACAATATTATTGTCTTGGAATAACCCTCTCGCAGCAGGCTACTCTCTATTTTTGTTAATAAAATAATAATAATATGGTTTTCCCGACGCTTACAATATTATTGTCCATTTTTACCGTAAAACTCATTCCACTCGGCAATCCGGCAGCACTGCAACCATTTATCACTTCCATTGACCCGCCGTTCGTGTTGTGCGTGCGTGAGCGCCAGGCCGCGGCTGCATACTCGTCATAGTTCGTGCGCGCGCCCGATTCTCCCTTTTCTCAATCAGTAGTAGTCATTCCGAATTCTGATAATCTGATTCAGTGTCGGTCGAACGACTTGGTTAACGGTCGTGTGTTGGTTTTCTGAGGTTTGTCCCGGGCAGCGCGCGCTCGAACACGGTTGTAATTATAAAATAATATTGTCCCATTCTCTTGTGTTTTTGTTTAATCGGTCGCCTTTCGTTATCATCGTCTACGTTGTTGCTGTAATTATTATTACCTTTTGTTTTAACGCCCGTCGACCCTTATTACACGCATAAGTGACCCACTGCCGAGACAAAAACAATAATTATTATTCCGTTCACATTTATCTTATACCCATAATATTATAAAATAAATTATTTAAAACGTGCACAATACATACAATTTAACGGGATCTACGCAGTCAACCGTGTTTGTGGATCCGCGGACTCTCTGGCCGTCCTCGTCGTCGTCGTCGACTATCTCTCACCGTAAATGAGAACGAAACCCGCCGTGCGCCGGAATTCGTGGATTAACCGTCACTGACGTTCTGTTATGGCTGTGGTCGGTCCGAGCCGACACTCCAGGGTGTCAATGTCGTTGATGCAGGGCTCGACGAACGGTCCAGTCGGCAACCACCAGCAGGCCAGCGCCTCACAACAGTTTTTTCACGCTCAGCAGCAATCCCATCATGCCGCTCAATCGGCTACCGCACATCCGGTGGACTACAAACCTGACAGACCGATTGGATATGGCGCATTCGGAGTTGTCTGGTAAGATCACCATCGATTATGTCTTTCTTACAGGGAGCGGTGATATCACTTCTGCCTTGTGCGATGTGCTTGCCCACCTACCACACTGAGTTTTTTACATACCCTTGTGTACCCTACATGTACAATGTACCTATCATTCTCATTGAAACTTTCTATAGTAGATAGTATACCCCTGCTTCCAAACGATACCCAATTGTAAGACATAGATTTTGTTTTACCGGTATGCCACGTCCCTCTACATTATAGTGGTTTGGTATGTCCACAACTTGTACAAGTTGTACTACTTAATAATATATTTATACATACACGTTACTTTTATTACTCAACAATGGTTTCTTATGAACTAACTAAGATGGTACTTGATATTATAATATAATAAATGTCCCAAGTCTCTTATATTTCAATACTTAATTCAATGTGGTGAACCAAAAAAAACCAACACACTGTCTATAAAGTAGGTACCTATATGATATAGGCTATATCCATTTTCATTGATACATAAATAATGTAATCTTTATACTTATGTTTGGTTTATGTACATGAGATCAATAGGTTTAACTATTTTTTTAGTATTAACTGATAAGTGATATTGTGATAACATTGTTACCATTATTAGTTCCATAATATGATACCTTTACAATTATTACTGATTTTATACATTTAATGTACCTTTTAGCTTACTTATTTAAGACCACTGCATTTTGTTTTAAATTTAGTTAGTTACACTTGTGGCTTAATACATATACGTGTTAAAATAGTTGGGTAATAAATTACTAAACGATAAATAATCGTCTAGAGTTAAATTGTAATTGTAGTTAACAAACAAAATCTAATATAGGAAGAATGATCCATATTGACTTTATTCTTGATCATTCTATTAAAGCCTGTAATTTATGTCAGTCATTATTCCTATTAAAGTAATATTAGGAATTAAATAGAAATACATTTATGTCTTAAGAATTATTTTAAATACATAAATAAATGTCTACTAAATACATAGGTGTACCTAATTTATTTATCAACATTATCAATTTGGTAGGTATATAAGGCTTATAAATATGTAACACGTATGATGTATAAGTATGTACAATATTATAGCTATAGGTTCAATCAGTGTAGGTCTGGTCTTCACACCAATTTTCAAGAGCCCTGAACCATTTTTATCTAGATCTGGGACCCAACTTAATGAATTTATACCTTGACAGAGGAGAAGGCCTATTGAAAATTATTGCACTGAGCCCAATCATAAACTAAATACTGGGTTGAATAAATAAAAACATAAAGATTAAAATGCAAATGAGCTATAGATAATATCATTAGGTATCTTAAATATTCACAATATTTAGAAAGCTCTGAAATTAAATATTTTATTGCATAAGTGTTTTTTGTTTTTATTATACTCCATGATATTCTGAGTAAAAACAATAATCTTATAGGTGTTTGAATTTTGAATACCTACCAATATTTATTTTGAAAAATTTCTGTAGGTAGGTTGGTGCCTTGTAGGTATTACTACATGTTAATTTCAGTTAATTTGTTAAAACATAATATTTTACTAAATTGTTTAACTATAACAAATTAATCTATACCTCTTTCCAATTCATTCATCTGAAAATCAATTATATAATACTTAAATTTTTTGTTATTCTACGAGTTTGGAAAACCTATTATAAAAATTCCTCTACCACGAAACATTTAAATACTGTTTATCATGTTGATATAGCATTAGGTTTATTTCTTAAATACCTACCAATACTGTATATTAATATTTAGTATTGAATATTAATGGGTAGATTTATAGTTGAATAAAAATCTTACTCATAATTTCTAACTACCTTCTATCAAAGTGCAAAGATAAAAAATACAAGGAAAACTCAGTTACGACTCAGTTATAATATGTTTGTGAGTAATGTAATAACTAATAAGTAATAACATATTAAGTATTACTCAGTTAATATATTAATTTCAACAGAAGACTTTATTTACTATGTTTGATTTTTTTATTGATTCGCCCAACTTATTCAGACACCGACATAATATTATATATATTTTTATGTATGTAGTCAAGTACCCATATACTATTTTTAGGATTGCTAATTTACAAATTACAATTGTATTTAAAGCAAGAGGCTTAACCTTAAGGCTCTTGGAACATGATTTGTGGTGTTAGACCTTTAAGTTGAAAATTAGCTTGTATACTTCCAGACGTCCTATTCCTGTTTTGAATGCAGTGAGACCTCCATTAATGGATTTCAAATAGTAGATGTTTTTTTTTAGGAAAAAACTACTAACTTTCTATAAGCTGAACCCCCAGAATAGTAAACAAAATATCAGTGACTGAATTTCCAATGTTTAAATGTTTAACTATATATTATGTATGAATTTATTAGCCACTAAGCAATTTTTTTTTGATTAAAAACCTACCTTAAAATCAAAATTATTTTTAAAAAAATATTTATTATTTAATAATTCTGTACTATTCGATTCTCTTTTTCAATAATCCTTTCAAGTTGATTAAATGGTTATACAACATTAACTATGAATATATAATTGTTTTTGTCATTATTTCTATCAAGATATTTATGAAGTTTTATAAATAAAAGGCCTATCAATTATTATTTTAATTGTGGCCCTAGTTTAAATTATTGTTCTCAATATGATTACTACTTAGCTTCTCAATAATACAGAACAAAAATGTTAATACTTTTATGCTAAATATAAATAATCAATAAAAAAAAGCTTAACATATATAATACTGACTAGCTTAAATTTTATTTAATCTGTGCCTGTATTTAATAGTGACTGTGTGTTTAAACTGTGTTCAAATTAGATCCCATTTTGTCATATTATTTGTATAAAAATATTACAAGTAAATGAGATACAAACTTTAAAAACTTTACAAAAATACCCATACAACTAAAATAATTGTAATTTTAAGTAAGTATTTAGTTATTTTACTGTGCCTATCATAATATATCTATTTTTATTAGATAATTAATAATATGGATAATAAACATGTTGCATAACATCAAAAAAATAATAAAATTGATTCGGGGAAAGTCTATAATCGGGAGGCTTCTGTTTTATGTTCTTAAAAATAGGTCAGTGGTGGGGAATGTTGCAAGGGGCGAGTATTTTACCCCATTTTTTAGTTTTTATTTACTTAACTAAATATTACATTTACTAAAAAATAATTAGGTACCTACTTAAATTATTTTTTCTATAATTTTTAACCATTTTTAAATAGGTATGCTTAATTTAATCTCCAATACATTTTATGTAATAACAAATTTTAATTTAAAATAATTATAAATTACTATATTACACCTATATATACGGAAAAGTAAAATAATAGTGTTGACACAAACTATTGATATAATATTAGGTACCAATATTTCATGTATTTTATCTAGGTATACTATTAATAATATCAAAGGGTCAAAAATTTATGATAACTTAATATGAATTCTCCTAATGTAATTTTAAATAGCTTTTTGACCTACAAATTAAGAATATGAACTACGCTTTTTACAGCATTCAAATTATATTTATTTTTTATTTAGTTTTAGAATATTTGTATAAAAATATTAGGTCAAAGTTACGTGTGGTTTATAAAGTAACTGACCGCGATATAGTTGGAGATTGTTTAATTTGAATTCTGTCAGGTATTTAAAAAAAATCAACTAAACAATTGATTTGTAAAACAAATTGATCTTTCAAAATTATAAACATTTTTACGCAATGTATTCCGAGGAATTTAATATGTCATAATTTATCAGTTAAATGTCTTCCGAATTAATATTTAAAAGAATAAATACTCAAATGTTATCATTATTTATCGGCCACTTAAAATTTGTAGTTACCTAATCCACTTGAGGTCCACATTAATCCCTAGCTCAACCATTAATTTTGCTACATATTGTAGACTCGCTGTTGGTAGGTTATTGAAAATAAAACGTGTACATAATATAATTATAAAAACGTTTCTGATTTTGTTTTGGAAATTGAATAATATTATTTTTATTGGTTTATTTTTATTTCATGATAACCTGATAACCTATTATTATTGTTAATATCGATGTGTATTTTGTTAAAAGTAATATAAAAGTTTATAACAGATAAAAATCTTTGTTGTTAGTTGAGCGTGAGAACGTGTCGGAAAAGTGTACAAGTTTACAAACGCATTCGCAGAACTCTTATAAGAAATATTGATAATAAGTAGGTTTCTCATTTTGTTGTTCTAATAGACCAACACAAGACTTATATGACCTACTAATTTAATTGTTAATGTAAAAAAAAGTTTCTATGATTATGATAATATGGTGTTCACAAAAGAAAGTTTGGCCATTTTAGTATAGTTTATTTTTATAATATTCATTGTTACTGTTTTCTACAGAATAACAACAAAATGTAGAACCAACCCGAAAAAATGTTTGTACGTTGTTCGCGTTCGAGATGGAAATTGTAAAAATTCAAGGCGAACTGGGAAGCCAGATGTGGGTACATATTGTCTGTTTGAGGGATCAAACCTGTTTTTTTTGTCGTGGGTGTTTGGTTGTTTGGAGACCGAAAGACTTGGAAAGACTATAAGGGCTGCCTGTTGTATCTGTATGCGTCTATATTGTATAGCATGGTAGCAGGTGTGATAGCCTATAGCTATGCATGCAACCTTAACATCTGTGCACGGTGGAAAAATACCGACCAGTTGTTGGATACGTCTGGACCCTTTTCAGCAGGTATACCGGCTCTCAGCTGTTTCGGGATAAAATTGCTTGATAATACTACTATTCTACCTATTTCATATTATGTTGCATTACCTGATGTGCACTGTGCGTGTGCCTTCTTTGTGTTCAGGGAATAAATAATAGGCATAAAGTTATAATGCTCTCAAATGTTTTCGTACGTGAATATATAATATTCTGTATATTATATTACTATCATTTTTGTGTATATTTCAATTGGCTTTGTACAATAAAGCTATTTGATTTTGTGACTCTGCCAGTAGTTTATTTTTTTGGTATTTTATTATTACGTAATCACTTAACAACGTTCTTTTTGCGGCCTTCCTAAATGGTACTCATTTATTTTGTATTCTCCCTTTAAACTTTTGCTATTGGTCCTATGTTTTTATGTTTCTTTTGTTATCGTTAGACAGAAGTGAGGTGAATAGAAAGAGACTGTATATACGATATTGTTTTATTATAGCAATTATTACTAGCAAGTGCCCTTATAGTATTGCACAATAGTTTGTACTGCTTTATTTGCTTTTACATATGTACACTTTTATATTTTAATCTGTACATATTAGACTAAGTCACCTACCAGTGAGGCCTCTGTCGTAACTTTTAAGGTTGCCCTGGTTTTTGTATCAGTATAAATGTATAATCAACGAACCAAAACCTATTCGGACTGGAGTCGCCCCATATAGACGTTATGCTTCAACTGTATCTACCCACATGTAGATGTATAGATGTTGTAATTCCTGTTGTCCACATTTATTTAATACTTACTGAAAATAAAATAAATTAATCGTACTATAATAGTAGAAAAACTTTCGTCCATATAGCATGTATAACTGAATAAGTAATATAATTTAATATTTATTATCAAGTGAAATAAGATACAATTCTCTATCTTATATTCTTAAATCATATCATCTTATTATGTCTATTTAAAGTTTGAATTTTAAATTCTATCAAATAACATATGGTATATGACTAAACGTTGAAATGTATATTGATGTTTATTATCAATGTTTAGCCAAAATACATGATTTTAGCATTTAGCTCGTACTTTCTGAAAATATATTGAGTTCAAGTGATTAAACCTAATAAAAATCAACAAAAAACTCCGTATGGTATCTTTATCAATAAATAATAATTTTTTAATTAAAATATTTTCGATTTTGGACTATTTTGAATATTATTATTATTGGTAGGCATATTATATAATACTTAATGACGGAATACTTGTTATTATAATGTTTATCTCTTTCTCTCTCTACCGATGTATGTTGATTATCGTAAAACAACTTATATTTCAGTGATATACGTTGTATAAATATTTGATGTACCTATACGGTCTAAATATTTTAAAATAATGAGTTTGACCATAGTACAGTAAGTTGTTACTATAAGAACACAATAACAACTTTACATAATTCAGTGCAAAAGTCTTAGCGTTTAATTGACAAAAGTGTCTTATGCTGAACTTTGTCTAACACAATCAGATCTCGAACTGTCGGACGAATGAAAATCCGATATTTTTTGCAATGTATTCAATTTTCCTCACTAGGCTGACGCCTGACACCACACGCTGCATCGTATAATAAATCATAATGTAGACCACGAAGTATATTATACATTTATAAGAAACAAAAAATAGAATTTCGAAACGGACGAACTTTTGTGCATGAACACATTTTATTAGTTTATAAATTACACACAGTGTAATATTGTCGTGGGTCAATGTTAACATTATCGTGCCTCTGAGTGTACACAAGTATACGCGCAACGTGTGGTGAACACATAATATTTATATATATATATTATACAACTGCGCCGTTAAGTTGATCAAACCATATTTAATTTAGTGATCCGTTCGAGCAGAGTTTGTGTGCTGTACGCATATAAATATAGTGGGGCGGACGACGGGTACAACAACCGACTCGGTCGTCGCTGCTGCTGCTACTTTAAATGAATCGATATTTACGTTGCTCGCATACCATATAGGCCTCCGTGTACTGCATGTATACCGTCGTTTAGAAGCCAACTGTTCCCAACAACGTCCTGTGTCAGAATGGCGTGTATATAATATAGAATGTGTGTTTGTGTGTGGAAGGGTCATTGTTCACGGGGTATTTTTTAATGATTATTATGTAAAAAAAAAAAAATAATAACCTAACCTTAGTATATAGTTATATGTGTACCTATATAATAAACACAAAACCCGAGGAGAGAAAGACAACCCACTAGAGAATTCGACTGCGGTACTCTGCTGCAGTGTATGCGCATGCGTATACCGTTGTACGCGGCATAACACTAATTTCCCACGAAGAAAACCGTCGTGTGACCAGACGCACGTTTCAAATAAACAGTTTCGACTTCCTCCCTCTACTGGCTCTACTCTTCGGACGACTCGTATACTCGTATTTTATGATTTTATGTATTGGATACCTACGAGAGAATTTATTACTCGCTCTCGTTATTCAAACTCGGGTTGAAAAACCTATTCAGTCAATAAAGGATGATTATAATACGCGTATGAACGACAAGTCTTGTGACGCGCGACGACGCAGCACTTAACAATTTTTATTATTATGTTCTTATGATGCACATGTGTTGTTTTTTATTGTATAATTTCGTGTGATGCGTGTGTACAACGGGGAGGCCGTGTATTATTAGGTATTCATAAATATATATATACTCTTGTATACATACGTGTGTCGTGTATGTATGCTTATTTGTGGTTGAGAATATCTAACCGGTGCTGCTGGTGGTCGGCTGCTGTATATAAGATTGCAAGCTGTGGTGTGTCAGCCACCTGCTGGATTGTAGCAGGCAGTAGTTGAGACTCCAGTACAGGTGTCCGCAAAAGTAGTACCTATATGCATAAGTGGAAATCGTATAAAAACAAAAATACAAAAAATAACAGCTATCGAGGTATTTTGATATATAAGTTAAATTCTTATATATCAGTATAAATAATAATTATATATTTATATACACTATACAGTTGCGTGTGAGGAGTGAAACGATTGTGAAGGAACCGCGGTGAGAGTAGGAGATACACATCTTTATCGGATCAAATAATAAGTGCGGTCTGAAAACCGTGGTATGTGTATGGTAGCGCTCATATAGAAGTTATTAAATGAATATGTCCTTGAAACTTACAGCACATATAGGTAACATATACGTGTATATAATAGTATAATACACACATGTACCTATACGGCGGTGCGGCGGTACTGACCAAAAAGAAATAAACCAAAAGAATACACCAAATGATATAAACGATAAACGATGAAATATGACAACAGTACTACAGATTATGTAATAATGCTGAGTTCAAATAGCATAATCTAATATGTAGCTACTTTATTAATTAGACTTCTGTACAAAAAAAAAAGCATTTTTTAGGAGCACGGTGTGGTGCAGTGAAAAACATAGGATAAGTCGACACAACGATTTCCAGCGAACGGTATTCGTTCGGAAAACGCGTTGTCCTCTTCAATCGGGACGTACTACGTAGCGTAGTCTTTGTTCCACTTGGCGTTTTGATATGAAACGAAAGCATAACAATGAAACCTCTACACGGTCTCTACGCTTTCTTTTTCTCATCTACTAAAGCAGTAGCAGTAACAGTCAAATATCTCTCGTACGTACAATAATCAAATAACTGTGAAAAATGTTATTAAAAAAGTTGTATTGTGGTTAAAAAAAATAAATGTAGCTTCATGTAAAGCGTGATGATGGAAAAAATATACCTACTCGCAAACTATCAATTTATTTTACATTCATCATTTTGCAACTGTCCGAATTGTTGAATGACGAATAGTGCCCCTCTATCTAGTCCCTTGTATATAAGTTTATTATTTATACTAATACATAAATAATTAGTTATTAAAGATAGTTTATAATATTATGTTCTGTAGGTTTTCAGGCAATATTTTGTAACCTCCCTGTCTGGTGCCTTTCCTCAAAAAATTACTAAAGCGCTATGAGACCAGAGGTGTTTTTTTAACTGGTCTTCATGCGTGTTTTATAGAATGTCATGTAAATATGATGTCGTTCACATTTATAATGTATCGTATCGGTATTCTTTACCAATATTCGTGTTCAATAATTTATATTTTTGTATTCTATCATATTATTATACGCGGAGTCGTTATCATCATCATGTTGATAAACTTTATAGACGTCATATCGGTGCTTAAACGACCCTGACCTAAGGGGAAACCGATTCATATGCGCCAAGTGTTTTTTTTCTTTACAGTGCAATGTTTCTGTGGATTTTTGCGTCTCTGCCAAACATAATTTCTTATTCATAATCACATTGTAAGAATAGAACATTAGTCAACTTTTAACAAGGCCATATAGATTCAATGAAAATTGTACTTAATCACCATAATTATTGTTATCTTTTTTGTACCTATTTATGTATATTTAGGAACTGTGTTCATTTAGGGAATTAAAGTTTACTTCTACCGAAGTTAAATATTATAATAACATTTAATTGTATTTGCAGGGCTGTAACAGATCCGCGAGACGGACGAAGAGTCGCGTTGAAAAAGCTTCCAAATGTTTTTCAATCACTAGTCTCCTCGAAACGAGTTTTTAGAGAGTTAAAAATGTTATGCAATTTCAAACACGAAAATGTAAGTTTTTTTTAAAGCCAGTCGTTTTTAATGCTAAAAATTATTATACATTTTATTTTTTACTCTTATAGGTATTATCCGCCCTTGACATTCTGCAACCGCCTCATTTGGATTTCTTTCAAGAAATGTATCCTTTTTATTATGTTATAATCGACCACAGGTAGGCCATGCCATTTATAGGCAATCCGGAAAAATGTGTTATATTTTCCGTAATAACTATCATGGTGTGTGCGTGCGCGCGCGATGAAGTGATGGATAATTCGATGACATTAAATTGTAGAGTGGCATAGGACCGTGCATTCCTATCGAGCTAATACGCATTAGTCACCCGGTTTATAACAATGTTACCTACCTCGCCATTATAAACCAGTATTTCCTGTATCTTCTTTGTTTCTCATAGGTCTTTAGTAATAGCGGGTTTATTCGCCCTAGACTGGGCGGCTGCTTAACGCAGCCGCACATATTCATATTCACTATTTAGATGAAATATATGTTATCTATAACATAAAATAAAAGAATAAGAAGTACCTAGATCATTTTGTTATAGGTGTTCATAGGTGTCTGTACACGCGCGCGTGTGTGTGTGTAATAATTCGTATGTATGATATATACAATGTAGGCACATAGTATTTTTTTTGTTGTATTTTCAAACTACATTGGAATCTTGTTTTGTCTTTAGGTACTATTATGCGTCTTAGTAACTAAAGACAACACGTATACTGTATTTATGGTTTCATTCGAGTGCATATACCTCTGAGATTATTGTTTTGTGTTTGATGATACTCAGAACGACGAATGATTATATAGGTACTGAATAATGTATGTGTATGAAGATGGCTCGATATTTTTAACTCACAATATTAACGATCTCTGGCGACTGATTTTCCTTCAATTGTGAACTTATATACATTATAATGACAATTGATGAGTAAAGATGGTTCCATCTTTTTAAATTTTATCGGATTATGAATACAAATAAGATGCATAATAATAATTGCCAAAAATAAATTCCTTCTGTTTATTTATAAAGTTAAACAATATATTTTGTCAACGTTAATACTATTTTTAGATTAAAATGCGGATGCTTTTGAAAAGGAAAAATTATTTATTTAAATCGTACATTTATAAATATATTAGGAATAGGGAGAATAAATATTGTTTTATTGATGCATGCATTAAAATTGCAAAATAATAAGTTGTTTATAAACTATAAAATAATTCGTAAACGTTTGGTGAGCTACACTTTTGAATTGTTGCACTCTTTATTGTTCTCTATTTACGGGTGAAGTGTTTGGAAAATCTCTGAATTTACGTTATATCCTGCGAAAAAAGGCAGCAATGGTGATCAGTAGACCGTTTGAACATGTGAGGGTGAAGGTCGTTCAACTCTCCGTGTTTTCCCGTCGGTCGCCCTTCGTGCAAGTACACGTTATTCCCCTTTAAAATTTTTTTTTCTGTTGACGGTTACTTTTTGAGTTGAACCAGTTGAGCTGGCTGCGGAGTACGCGTTTGTAATATAATATAGCATATTATATAGGTACCTACTCTATATTGAATGCGGGTTTTATTCAAGTAATACTGTAACAGCCCTCGTTTGTGTAAACTCATTTTCCCATAATCATTCGCTCCAATCAATAATATTAAAGTTGAATAGCATAAAAAGAGGGGATTATATGTATAGTATTAATATATATGCTCCGCGGTTTTTGTTGTCTGGTTTTATCGTATTGGGCCCTGCTAGATTGTTTTTAAAAAGTACACATTGTGTGCGTGGTGGTATCATAAGTATCAATGTATCATTGTTGCTGCTTTAACAACATATTTTATTGTTTACTTCGATTCGTTTAAATCCAAGACACTAATAAGGGTGAATTATTAGGTATAATTAATATTTACTTTAATTCTATCACGAAAACCCTAATTAAAATCACAATTGTACTATTCTTTGGTTTCTTCAAATAAATACGTTTAAATTCTTTATTTATATCTTTACATTTTTCTTGAAAAATAGCCATTCAAACCTAATCAAGTTTATTTTTGGATATTATTTTCTTTTCATTGTACCTGGTAGTGTTTATAATTTCCTTTTATCATATGTCCATATTATTATATCAATAGATGAGATGCCTTTAACTTTTAAGTAGATTTCAGCGCACTATTTGTTTTCTTTCTCTGGTCTTCAAGCAACATAGACTAACAAATTTAAGCGAAATCATTATATTTTTATTTTTGTGAATTCACTTATCACCAAAATCATAAAGAATAATATTTTCGAGAGTTTGGCATATCGACCTGTCGAAATATTGTCCCAAAACATTTTTATATTCATTTAAATTTCCAAAATGTATTTTTATTTTTTAAGTCTAATATAAAATCAAATAGTAATAAAGTAACCGATATGTCAAACCCTCAAAAATATTATCCTCGATGATTTTATTAATAGGATATCTTTCTTATGATTATTATAACATCATAAAAAACGAATTTACGTGACTACTTTTATCTCTCTTGTGCTTGGATCTAAAAGGAAACAAATATTTGAGCTAACATCATCTTAATATTATTATATTTTTTTTTTGTTTAGTGAGAAATTATTATTTATTATTAAAAAATATATTGTTATGTACTTTTATTATTGTTATTCTAAAATGATCTTGATAACCAGAGTATGATTTTTCTAGTTCACGAGACTAATAGAAAAATAAATAATAATATCAAAATACGGGTTTTACGAACATTTTAGTCAACAAGGAAAACTAGCTCGTTCCGTATAATTGACGCAGACTTATTTAGTAAATATAGAGTGATAAGTGGCGCTTTGCCGCTTTGTTTAATTTATATGATCAAGTAATCGATACGACGTATTAGTATATATCGGTAAAGGAAAAGTCCGGCGTTGCTAAATTGTTTTCCTGGAATTTTCTATACTATAGGGGGTTTTCCAGTGGTTACTTAATATAAATAATGATGACAACTAGTACCGTAATGAATAACAAGAAGCTATCGCACTTTCTCTTCTATTCGCGAGTAAGAAACGGGAAAATTGGTTTTTTCTTTTGTATTTTTCTTTTTTCTTACTTCATCGGCGACAGTCTTATACTTTAATACACATTTTAACTATTGTTGCTCTTGTAATATTATAGCTCTCTCGTCTGCAGTGTGCCAGTGTCGTCCTGCATGACGTGTATAATATTGTTTCGTCTGTGTCTTGTGTAGGTGTCTTGTGTAGAAGCGCACAGCGCAGGGCTTCAATGCGGGTACCTGTACCTTCCTACATTTATCGTCTGCGCCATTGTCTGGGGATGTATTTCGAAAAATCCGTATAAAAAGGGTCCGTCGGTATGTACTATTCTCCTCAGGGAGTGTGTGTGTGTTTAAGTGCATTTATTTCGTGTGGTCGTATGTATCCGGGCACATTCGGTTCCGCGTTCGTGTGTGTATGCCTACCTGCTGAACATATTATTATTATTTTTGTACACACATATTGTATGCGAGTGTGTACAGAAGGCGCTGACGCCGGAGCGCTGTACAGGGGGAAAAACTGGTTCACCGTACAAAGACCCATAGACCCGGGCGAAGACGTTCCGCGCGCGCGTGTGTTCGCGCCGCCGCTTCCCCGCGCCGTGTCCTGGCCTAACGCTGCCGCGCGGTAGTAACACAAAACCGACGGACGGCCGCGGCGTACGCGACCACTGCTGTTCCGACGGCTATCACCCGTCGGTTACTGGCTTGGCCGGTGGTGCGGGGGAGGTGTCGAAATGTTGGTAACCTTGACGGGAAAATTGTTGTTGTTGTATGTGTGTGCATTGCCGGCCGGGTGTAATTGACCTGTGCCGCCTCAGTGTAGAGTAAAAAAATTTATAATATACTATATTTTATAATAATAAATAGTTTATATTTAATTATATAATGTTATTGTAAAATATAACGTATGCGAATGTGTTCACTGTGCATGTCCATCGCCGTTTTTGCGATGTGTTATGTCGTAGCACTACACTTTGCAATATTAGCTCACAAATTACATAGTACATATTTATTTGTCTACTTTACAGTTTACAGTTATTGCGCCGCTCGCATGCGTGCCTATACTTCAAAGTGCAGTTTTCAGCGTAGTTTTTTCGATCATGTTTCAATACGAATTGTTTCTTTCTGTTCCGTTTATATTTACTCTCGTAGTCATTATTTTTCGTTATTTTCTCCCCAAGTAATCATCATCAGTAGTTGCACATGACACGGCGCAGTTACAATACATCGAGAACGGTTTGGTCGTTCCATTTTCACGGAACTGAGGTTTGTTTTTTAACAGCGTTTTGTTAAGCTATATATTATAGGAAATAATAATATCGTGTTTTCTAATTTGGGTTACGGGACGAAACTAATTTCGTTAACGGACATACGTTGTGTACTTCACGTTCACCGCGGATAAGCGCTCGCTCCAATGCGCAATATATACGATGAGCTTGTTGCAACGTTCTACATTCGTCGTCTCGGAGAAACGCGCAGCCGACAACAAAACCTATAAAAGACGTATCGGATTAACTGATTAATAGTAAATAGACTACGTAATAATGTGCTGTATACTTACACACATTTCTTGTGGGAAATTAAAACAGTATACCCGTACGCACAGGATTCTGCGGGTACGTGGGCGTGCCTATTACATAGGGTACTTATTCCATGTTGACTCAGAAATGATTATTTAAACTTATATTCATAATATAAGTACATACCGATCAATGAAATCAGTAATAATTGACGTGTGATTTTTGAACAAAATTAAGACATCTTGTTAAAAGAACCTTAAGGCAGTTGAAGTAAAAACAAATTTATGCTGCAGTGATTGTGTCTTTATATCGTATTTTAAGGTTCTAATCTAATTCCGATACCTTAGGACTTTTAGTCCAATATTCTTCTACTTGGAAAAACCAGAGCACGATCATAATGAGCTGGACGTGTTTTTTTTTTTTAAGGAATAGTTTCCACGCCAATAAACCCCATACTGTTTTTACCGCTTGTTCCAGTTGTCGGTTACAATATCATAATATGTAATGCTGTACAACGATGAAACGTTTTTCTTTCGGTCTTCACTGGTGAGACGAGACGCTCGAAACGTTTGTGTGCTTATCC